TCTGTTCTTGGATCACTTCCTCCTAACTTCCCCCACCTAAACAGAAGCTTTTTCCTGTAACCGATACCTAGAGACAGGAGCACCCAGTCCTCACACTGGCCTTGTCTGTCAGTGCCTGCCTTCTGGCCTCTCTGATCCACGGCATCTCTGCCAAGAGGGGGGAAGCAGGTTTCATGGTCCAGCTCAGCTCTCGGGGGGGGGGGGGGGGCAATCTCGTTGACGTTTAAGGAGAGAACAGAAGTGGGAGGGCACCTCCCACCTGCCTTGGCTGGAGCCAGAGACTTTCAAGTTTCTCTTTTTCCAGAGGAAGGAAGTGAGGCCCACAGAAGGTCAGGATTTTGCTCAAGGTCACAAAACCAAGGAGGAGAGTCTGGGTCCCCAGGCTCCCAGTCTGGGGCTCTGGGCAGAATGCCGGCGGATGCCCCTGCTAGTTAAAGGTTAAACAAGGTCTTGGGCCAAAGGTGAGCTGGAAGTGGACACTGAATGTCTGAGGTTTTGGCTGCTGCTGTGGCCAAGCGGCTAAGCTGACTGAAAGGCTGGCGTGAGAGAGGCTGACCTGGGCAAGGTTGGAGGAGGGCCAAGGGGGTGGAGTGTGGAGCCTGAGAACGCACAGAGGAGCCCAAGGGAAGCAGGGCAGACAGTTCTCTCATTCTCTCTGCAACACTTGTTTGGTACAGAACATGGCAGCCTTTCAAGGCTGGATGACGAGTTCTCTGGCGTTAGAACATCTTGGCCTGGGAAATGGGGGAGGGGAGGAGGGGAAGGGTACACTAGAGGAGCTCTGGAAAAAGGACCCTTTGAAAAGATGAGAGCAGAGAAAAATTATAGCAAATGAATGAATGATTGATTGAATTGAATTGATTGAATGAAAATACACCAATTAAGCCCTTGCCGGGTAATATGTTAAGCTCAGAGGTTGCAAAGTCAGACAAAAAAAAAAAGCTTTCTTTGGAATGGGGGTGATAGAAAAGCAAACAGTGCCCTAAAAGCTAAGCGCTTTTCCAAGAAACAAATTGTAATTAAGGGTTGTTTTCCAGTACCTTGTGAGGTCCCTCCTGAACTTGAGGGCATTCTAGAGTCTCTTTCCCTTATCTTGAGATGCCATAAAACAAATGCCTTGTCTTCTTCATCCTGAGTCATCAAATTTCCCATCTTCCTTATCCTGGGTCCCCTACCCTGTCATCCATCTTCCTCATCCTATGTTATGACAATCCCCCACCCCTTATCTTGTAAGATAAAACAGGCCCCTGTCCCTCTGTAAGACGGTAGTTCTCTTTCCAGGGCTAGCCCGCTGCTTTTGTGTCAATAAGGCTCCCAATGGTTACAGAGAAGGTCTAAGTGAATTCTTTCATACCTGAACCAGCTCTCCCAACTCTAAGCCTCAGCGGGGAAGAGGGGGGAGGGACAGGAGACTTTGGTCTGCGGAGTCCCAAGGATGGAATGACAGGAACCATAGAGCAACTGACTGACAAGCTCTTTCCAGAGGAAAGTGTGGATTTGATTACTGTGCCCAGAGTAAGATGGCCTAGGGGAAAGGAGGGGGTGAATGTAAGGGGATGGCCAAGGAGAAGCTTGTTCTGGGGGCATGGGGAATGGATAGAGTGGGCTCTCCCAACTGGGCGTGGTCTCTGGAGGTCCCATTCAGGGGACCCAGCAACAAGGAGACATGGCCCCTGGGGAAGAAATCACAGAACTGTAGAGTCCAGGACAGACTTTGAAAACCTGTTCTCTCACTTTGAGCACTCCTCAGGCATCACCCCTGTTCTGCTCTGCCTTGGGTGTTATCCCCAAGGGTTCAGTCCTGGCTCCTCTCTCCTCTTGTCACACATTCCTCCTTGGAGATCTCATTAGTTCTTCTCTATGCAGACGACAGCCAGATTGGAACAGTCAGCTCACTCATCTCTTCTGAACCCCAGTCCGTATCTCCAACTACCTGCTGGACATCCCTGCCTAACCATCCCACAGGCAGCGTGGACACATGTGCAGAACAGAACCCAGGTCCTTCATCAGAAATGCTGAAAATCATGGGAGGTAGTAGGGTTTCCACTTACTAGCTTGGACTAAAATCCCTTGAGGGAGACATTTAGCTCTAGTTTGGGACAGGGAAGGTCTCTACCTGCGTGTCTGTGTTTTCTTTTTTAAAACTTTCTTTTAACTCTCAACGCAATTTTCTCTCAATCTGATAGTTTGAACAATTTTTAAAATATAATCCAAAAACTGATGTAGCACCTAAAATACTTGGGAAGTCTATTTTTGATTGGGGGCTAAGGCATTCATGATTAGTGACCTCATCATTGCAAATCCAACGACGTTTTCTCAGTCCGCATCCTTCTTGACCTCTCTGATCGATGAGACTTCACAGACTGTGCTGGGAACTCGTGGATTAGAAGAGAGGCATTGCTCTTCTGATGGCCTGATGGGGAAAGGCTGGAGCAACTGATTGACTGGTGCAGAGCTGAAGGGGCCTGTTGCTCTGCAGCGCCATCTAAAGGTGAAGGAGAAACCTCTTGGAGGTGCCTGGGTGGGTCTACTTTCCTCTGGTTAGAGAACTAGAAACAGAGGGAGAAGGATGCATTTTGCATCTCTTGGCGACCTGAGAGGAGGGGTTTGGAGATGATTGGATCAAGCAGAAACCCCTGGATATGGAAGTTCACAGAGTGCTCGTCCCTACAACAAAGCAACACTTTCTCAATGGAGAGTGCTTCGTTTGCTTGAGAATGGAATAGGAGCAGCTTTGTTTAGCAGGAGAACAGAGGACCCGAAGAGCAGCTAGCAGAGAAATGGATCCACCATGAAGATTGCCCCTGAACAGGTAAGAGCCTGCAGTCCAGACTTGTGGGCTGTCCCAGGGACGGGACTCCCCTCACTCATGTGCTCCCCTGCTAGGTCTCTGTAAGTACAGGTCCTCTCCTCCCCCTCCCCACCCACCATGGACCTGTGCGCAGGAGTAGGAGGCTGTCATATTGTAGCTCGTCCTCCTCGTGCCTTCTATTGAATAAATGATATGATTATTTTTGCTTTTGCCTTATTATTTAGTAAATGCTTTAGATTTTAGATTTGATGGTGCCACAGTGAATGATTTGGTAAAAACGGGAAGCACTCTGGTGTGGACTCAATACCTACTGTGGCAACTAGTAAGAGGGGACACCTTCCCCGCCCTACATACACACACCAGGGTTGTCCCTGGATTCTGAGAAAATTCTGAGTTGTGTCAATGTGGGGTACTCTGCTCTGGGAACTCTAGAACTGCCAGCCGGCATGGGTGCAGGTTTGGCGATTAAGCCAGCCCAGAGCACGGATTACCTAGACAGGCCAATACCAGCACAGGGGCGAATGTGACTTCACATTATTTAACAAACACAGTACAATCCTTCCTTTTTCAGCAGCTGTGTCTCCTAGTCAATTCACCCCGGGGCAAGCTGCTAAATAATCTTCCTAAGAGATCGTTCTGACTCTATTCCTGCCCTGCTCAAAAAGCTTCAGTGGCCTCCCATCACCAACAATGACTTTCTCACTACTACCAGCAAACAACACTATGCTTTTCTATTTGTGTTCCCATCACTTAGCCTAGCGCTTTGCATAGTATGGGCTTAATTTATTCACTCATCTCCCATGTCTATGCTTTGGCACTGACTGTCCTCCATGCCTGCAATGTGTTCCCTCCCCCACCCTTCTTTGCTTCATAGAAATCCTTAATTCATTCAAGACTCAGTCCAAGTACTGCCTTCCCTGCTTCACCACTGGCCAGTGCACTCCCTCCCCAAACCATTGTAATTATTCTGCATTTACCTTTTTTTTTTTTTTTGGCTAGGCAATGGGGTTAAGTGACTTGCCCAGGGTCACACAGCTAGTAAATGTTATGTGTCTGAGGCCAGATTTGAACTCATGTCCTCCTGAATCCAGGGCTGGTGCTCTATCCACTGTACCACCTAGCTGCCCCTGCATTTACTTATATATGACCACGGTTGTCTCCTGTGATAGAATGTAAGCTCCTTGAGGGGTGCTTAGAGATTGAGGCCGGAGCCCCTGTCCATCACCTTTGGCAGCATGTGGAGGAAAAATAGATTTGGGAATGGACCGTTGGCTTCTGTGGGGAATGCTTGGTATCCAGTCCCCTTCATACATAACATTTTTCTTCCCACGTCTTTCTGTGCTGGTTGACCATTCTTTTTGGGTATTGATAGGGGCAGAGATAGCAGCAGGCAGGTACATACTGAATCCAAAGGCAATGTGGCCTGGCATGGCTCTGTCCACAGGACAGTCAGCTAGGGGCTGAACGAAAGACAGACTCTTCATTGTATTATGAGGGCAAGAAAGGGAGTCACAGCCATTTGTAATAAATTACATTTCATTTAGAGTAAACATTTGCTCTGGAATGTAAATTTAAAGTCTTTTAATAGACCAGGGACCAGCTCAGGTAAATGAATTGACTGCTATTAGCCAAGGCTCTAGTACAACTTACTTTCTGATCCAGCAGCTTCTGTATTTTGACAAGCGAGGCTAGCATATTGAATGTCTTGGACTGCCAGGAAAGCAGAGGTGCTTCAGCTCAGGATTCTCTAGGGTGTGTTGAGGACTATCATGCATATTCCCACCTGCTATACTCCCCCAATATTAACCAGCTGATATCAATTAGCTTTTACAAAACGATATTGAGAAGATAGAGCAAGGGCAGAAGTTATGAAAGCATTCCCCCTAAACTGGGAATGCACTCTCCCTCTGCATTTACTTTGTCCCCTGGGAGAAGTCAAAGACAGTGAGGTGCCAGGGGTCAGGGTACAGCTGGCTCTGGGAATCCTTGAGGACCCTCCCCCAAGGTGGCTGAGTCAAGTAGGTCATTCTCCAGGTCACCACCTCACTGGACTCAGCTCCTACTGCTGCTGGCTCCGGTAGCTAACCCTCCCTCTGATGGCCTTTCTAAGCTCATTTAGTTGTAACCTGTTCTGTTCCTCATTTACCTGAGATCAGAAAAGAAGCAGGGACACAGACACAAGGGCACCATGTGCTCTGGACACGCGGAGGTCAGTCAGGAGCTCCTCCTGACCCAGAAGCTCCGGGCAGGTCTGCCCCACTTGAAAGCACCAGGAAGAGAGGAAGGCAGGGAAAGGGCTGATCTGTCTGTCAATTCAGTTCCTTTTCTGTCATGAATACTTCTAGCTTTGAGGTCACCCAGAAAACCCTTCCTCTGTCACACACACAGCATCAGCCCCTTAGTTACTCACAGCCAGAAGGCGGCTCCTCAAGGCTCCCCATGCTGGGCTGAAACAAGGTTGGGATCTTGTGCTTGCTAAGAAGCCTGGAGACTCACTGGGAAGCCTGTCATTACACATACAGATATCGAGATCAAGACGGAACTAGCATCCACATATAGAAATATGCACAGATCACTCGCTCCAATGCATTCTAGCACAAAATCTCATTCTCTGGCCCAGGCGTGGGGAACCTGCGGACCTCTAGTCCAAACTTCACAGAACAAATCCCCTTAATGAAAGGATTTGTTCTGTAACTTGAACTCAGTCAAAGGGCCACACTTGAGGACCTAGAGGGCCACATGTGGCCACGAGGCCACAGATTCCCCGCCCCTGCTCTAGCTTGTTTCCTTCTCTGCAAAACAGGAATAATAAGACCCGCCCTGACTTCGTAAGAGTTTGATTATGCAGAGAGCTGTATATAAGGCCCTTTGTGTTCTACTTTATGCAAAATGACTCAGACAGCAGAGGGCCCTGCCTAAGATTATGCAGCTAGTAAATGTCAGAGCCGCCATTTAAACTTGTCTCTGGACTCCAAGACTGCATAGAATACAAGTATGCATGGACAAATAGGGCAGGGCGGGGAGGAAGAGAGAGAGAGTTGGAAAGACAGAGACAGAGAGGAGAGAAACACAGAGAAAGATGGAAACTTGGAGAGAGAACATTTATTAAGCACTTGCTGTGGGCCAGGCAACACACCTTCCAATCCAAAACACGGCCACAAAGGCAAAAAGGAACTAGAATCACAGTATTTTCTTATCGATATACCAGGGAACCATTGAACACCTCTGAGCAGGCAAGTGGCACGGTCAGGCCTGTGTCTTACAAGCAGCCGGGGGGACAGAGGACAGTGTTAGGTCTAGAATCAGGATGCCTACGAGCTGTGTGACCCTGGGCAAGTCACTTAAAGATTTGTAAAGAATAGCTCCTGGCACACAGTAGGTGCTGATCAATGCTTGTTCCCTTTCCCCACGTAACCTTTGTCTCAAGTTTCCTCATCTGTAAAATGGGGTTGATAATGTTACCCACTTCCCAAGGTTGCTGTGAAAATCAAATAAGATAACATATGAAAAGGTCAGCTCTAAAGTGTTATAAACATACCATCAGGAAGAGCAACGTTTTTACCATTCAGTTGAGTAGAGGGTAGATTCAAGAAGAGATGAGAGGCAATGAGAGGGCGGCTACCATGGTTGTCTAAGGGAGAGGAGACGAGGGCTTCACCTGGGCTGGCGGCCATTGAGTTGTGTCAGGACTGAGCTGTGGCCAAGCTGGAGGGCAAGGGGGCCACTGGCTGTTCTGGCATCTTGGAGAAGCCTTGGGCTGGTGCTGCCATTGTCCCCTTCTCTCCCCGGAAGGAGGAAAGTTCCAAGAAAAACTACACTCTTTCTCTATTTCTCCTGTGACCTGGCCACAGACACCAGGATATATTCCACTGATTCTGTAGCCGGATGCTTTCCATCCCCTGAATGCGGCCTCAGACCAGCATGGGCTGACAGCAGGGTACTTGAGTAGAGTAGGAGGACCTGGGTTCAAATGCTGGCTAGAAGGTGTGACCTTGGGAAAGTCAAGTCACTGCTCTGGGCTTTTAGATTTCCTTCTCAGAAATGGAAGGATTTGGACGCGGTGCCCACGTAAGCTCTAAGGTTATGATCCCAAGTCCTGGGAGGACCTGGAAGATGGTTCAGTTCTGAGGTGTCCTCAGTTAGAATGGAATTGTAGGACAATAAAGATTGGCTTAGGGAAAGCTGGAAGGATACAAGCATTGTTGAGCGCTATTGTGTGCCAGGCACTGAGCTAAATTACAAATATGATCTCATTTGATCTCCACAACAGCTCTGGGAGGGAGGTGCTGTTATTATTGCCATTCTACGGTTGAGGAAACTGAGGCAGACAGAGGTTACAGTGATTCGCCCAGGATCACACAGCTAGGAAGTATCTGAGGCAGGACTGGAACTCGGGTCCAGTCCATCACTTGGTTGCCAGATTCTGATCCCTGAGATATGGGGGGAATGCTTTCTCAGTGGAATAAAGGCAAACAATTTATATAGCCCTAATTATAAAGTAGAGGTTGATGGGCGCAAGTTGGGGAACAAGCTGGGGTGAAAATTTATTAATAATAATAGCTAGCATTTACATAGCGTCTACTACGTGCCGGCACTGTGCTTCGTGCTTCACAAATGTGATTTCATTTGTTCCTCACTACCACCCTGGGAAGCAGGTGCTGTGACTGCTCCACTTATGCAGTTGAGGAAACTCAATCAGAAGTTACACGAAGGGTCCAAAGTCACACAGCTAGTAAGTGTCAGATCTTCGTGACTCTAGGCCCTCTAACCCCTTCACTAAATCCCTTATAGAAAGAAAGAAAAAAAAGCACAAAAGGGCCAGGGCTTAAGTAGAGATAGCTATAAAATGTAAATTAAGGTACCCAGCTAACCCACTGTCCAAATGAGAGGTGTTTCCTAATTCCGGGCTTGAAGAAATTGTGATTGTACCTCTTATCCAATATGAACTCCCTTGAAGTGGTAGGGATGGCAATTATGTGGCCCACCTCTATGAAGCCTTCCCGGCTGCTAATGTGATCCCCTCCTTGAAGCTGCCTTGAATTTATGTGGTCCATATTTAAGTACATGTTCTTTCCCAGTATTTGCCTCTCTCTGTGGAACGTAAGCTTCCCCAAGAGCAGACTGTCCTCAAAACAATTTTTGTGTTTCCAGATCTAAGCACACAGTAGGTACTTATTGGAGGCAGAAAACCGAGGCTTGAATCCTGGCTTTCCAGCGAACGTCCTTGGAGGCCTTGGTAAGTCGTTCACCCTCTCTGGGCCTCAGCTTCTCCCCTCTACTGTTTTGACTGGATGACATAATGGCTAAATCCCTAGATTTAAGAGAGCCGCAGGCCAGGTTTCCAATCTTGCCTCAGATCCTTCTTAGCTATTTGTCTGACTCCGCACAAGTTATTTGAACCCGAGTTTTCTCATCTCCAAAGTGGGAAGAACGGCAGCACCACCTCCCAAGGTGGTTGTGAGAATTAAATGAGATGTTTGTAAAGTACTTTACTGTATAAATTAGCCAACGAGCATTTAGGAAGCCTATGATGTGTCAGGGTTGTGCTAAGCACCGGGGATTCGAAGAAGGCAAAGGACAGCCCCTGCCTGCAAGGAGCTCACTCCTTATTTGCTGGGGGGGGGGGGCACAGACAATCTACAAACAAGCCACAGACTGGGTCAATATGAGCTGGTGTGTTACTGTGCCTCCAGCTCTAAATCTCTAATTCCAGGTGACTTGCCCCAGGTCAGGTTACCTGTCCAGGAGGAAGCCGAACAGAGCCGAGAATGCCTTTTTTTGATCTCCAAGACTCTTTCCATTCGGACACATTTTCTCAAAGATGGAGGGAACTGTGGAGAGGGTGGGAAAGTTCGGTGCGGACAACCGTGAGCTCCAGGGTCGATGAGGAGTGAGGCAGAAGAGCCGGAGGGAGGGATGCCACGGGGCTGGGGAATTGTGGCCACTCGTCCCGGTGACAGAGGTCAGGAACTTGGAACTTTGACTCCTTCACACACCCTGGTGCCATCCCGGCTCTCTGGACTAATCTTGGGGTACTCGCTTCCCCTCCCCACCCTCTGTGCTGCAGGAAGCCCTCCACCCCACCCCACCCCTTTAATCCCAGGATCTCTCAGTCAGTGGGGAGGTGTCGCTCACCCCTCTTGGACCTCACGCCACATCTTCTTGTAAGTCCTACGGGTTTTGTGTCTCATGTACCCCAAAACCCTTCCGTAAATGTTTGCGTGGGGGGTATAAAGTGACACAGTCCTAGCCTCGGAGGCGCAAGGTCTGGACCTCAGAGGTGAGCCAGGCCGACCTTCCCTCTCCTCTGGATTGCACAGATGAGGAAACTGAGGCAAAGAGCAGGCAGGGTCGGTTCAGGGGCACCGGGACGCCGGGCTGGAGAGCCAGGACTGCGGCCCGAGGGTCTTTCCATTCTGGTCCTCGCCCGACCTGGGGACAGGGAAGCTGGACCTGAGAGTCAAGGTCGAGGTGAAGGGTGCGCAAGAGGAAAGCATCGGGGAGAGCGGGAGCTCCCGGAGGCCTCGCAGAAATGGACCAGGAGGGACGCCCAGGGCTCCGCTGTGCGAGGTCTGGGCTGGGAGGGAGGTGATCCTCGCAGCAACAACTCTTCCCCTCTGGCCCCGCCCCCTGGGACGCAGCCTCTCGGGCTCCTTCCCCGGCTAAGCCCCGCCTCTTGGTCACTCCCATACCCCAGGAGGCGGCCAGCCTCTTTCGGCCTTTCAGGGTTAAGCCCTCCAGGGTTAAGCCCCGCCTCCCCAGAGAGATGGCCTTCTCCGTTCGGCCCTGCTGGGACGGCTCCGCCCTCAGGAGTAAGCTCCGCCCCCACCCTCTGAGAACCAGATTTCCCATTAGCTCATTCCCCTGTGGCCCCGCCCTCCAGCGTTAAGACCCGCCTCCCCGGAGAGACGACCCTCCCTGCATGGCTCCTCTCTCAAGATTAAGCTCCGCCTCCACCCTATGACAGGTGGCTCTCCCCTTTCGTTCGTTCCCTGTTGCTCCGCCCCCCAGGTCTAAGTCCCGCCTCCTCGGAGAGAGGGCTCTCCTCATTCGGCCCTTCTGAGAGACTTAAGCTCCGCCCCCTAATCTCTCCCATCCTTGGGGAGGCGGCTCTCCATTCGCCCCTTCCCGGATGGCTTAAGCCCCGCCCCCAACCGCTCCCATCCTCGAGGAGGTGGTCCTCGCCTTTCGCTCCTGCCCCGCCCCTCCGGTCCCGAGGCCCGCCTCCTCCAAGAGGCAGCCCTCTCCATTCGCCGTTTCCCGAATGGCCCCGCCCTCTCGTTCCCGTCAGCCCTTGCGGCCGCGGCCGTTGCTTCCCTCGGCGTCCTCGCTTCCGTGGCTGCGGACGCTGATTGGCCCCGCTCGGGCGGAAGTGGGGGTGGGCGCTGGCCCGGTTGCCGCAGTGACCGTGCTGAGGGACTGGGGAGATGGCGGCGTCGCGTCGCTCTCAGCATCACCACCACAACCACCACGGTGTCCACCACCCGCCGCCGCCGCCGCCGCCTCCGCTGCCGCCGCCTCTGCCTCTGCCTCTGCCGCTGCTGCCGCCGGGCGCCGCCGGAGCGGCCCCGCCGCCGCCGCCGCCGCCCTCGCTGAGCCCCGGGCCCGCGTCCCCCGCGGCCTCCCCGCGCCACGGC